CGGGAACCGCGGCCCGGCCATGTCCGAGGCGTATTTCCCCGTGGGCCCCGGGCTGGGCATGGAGGAGAATTTCTTCTCGCTGGATGATATCCTGATGTCGCAGGAGAAGCTGCCGGGGCGCGCCGAGAGCGCGCTGCCGCGCCTGGCCGTGCTGCTGGGGCGGGGCGCCGGCAGCGCTGAGTCCGTCCCGGAGGTAACGGGGGAGGGGACGCGGGACACCGGACACGGGATGCGGGACACGGGATGCGGGACACGGGACACGGGACACGGGACTGTCGCTGTCGGGACGGGACGTGGCGCGGAGGGCTCTGCCCCGGGACCGCCGCCTCGCTGTCACCTCTGTTGTGCCTCCCAGGCCCCGGCCGCCCTCTGTTCCTGGTCACTGCAGTGATGCTCTCCGCTATTTTCTCAGAAGTTATTTCTGCTTTTATTATATGCGCTTTGCTTGGTTGGTTTTCCCTTCTTTTTCTTCTCTTGCTGTTTGATAACCCGACAATTATTGAACCATAGAACTTCAGTAAAAAGTCCACTTTCTGAGTCTTGCGGTAACAGCGCCTATAAAGTGTGTCTGGTTTATGGTACAGTCACAAAAGACTGCTCTGAAAACAGAACTGACTCTTTGTAATGCTGGATCTAAATTAACAAAGTTCACTCTGTGTCTCTGTGGCTGCTTCAGGTGTACTTACATGGCAAGGATAACTTTTGGCTTCTCTCATTCCTCCAGGGATCAAAGCTGGAAATTCCTCTGTGGCTTGCTAAAGGGCTGCATGACAGCAAAAGGAGAATCATCTCCGTGGAACTGCCAAAGATTTACAAGGAAGCCTGGAGGACGGTGTTCAGTGCTGATGCCAATGTGGTTGATCTGCATAAAATGGGGCCCTACTACTATGGATTTGGCTCACAGCTCCTGAATTTTGAGAATCCAGAGAATCCTGAGATAGCTCAGACTATCCTGCAGGCAAGTATCTGAATCAGATCTTGAAATTTAGATTTGCATTTTTCTGTCTTCCTTTCAGTTCCCAGCTGCTTAGCAGTCTTCAGGAAAAATATCCTGGTTTAATCCAGATGACTTCTGGACTGAATATAGATGACCCTCTTGGCAGCTGCACAGCTGATGCTGGAAGCCTCCACTCTGCTTCCAGGAGTGTAATTTTAGCTTGGTGTTTCCATACTGTAAATATGGTATTTCATAAAATCCTGTAAAACAGGATTGAGGAGGTGTAAGACTATTTAACTATACCTGTCTTTAAATCTCTCTAATGCAGAGACCTCACACTGCCCTGGGCAATCTTTAAGTGCCTCACCTCAGGAGGTTTTTCCAGTGTCTGAACCAAAGCTCCTTCACAGCAGTACAAGCTCTGTTCTCTTTGTCTCATACAAAGTAAATGCTGAGGACAGATTATTCTCTTCCTTCCTGCAGCAGTCCCAGTTCATTTGATATTTCTCTATGGGTCATGCTTCCTAACCTCTGACTGCCCTCATTGTGCACTGCTGGTGCCTCTCCAGTGGATCTGCATCCACCATGCCATGCCCTGAACAGCAGTGCAGTCTCATGCTCAGGACTTGTGCTGATGAAAACAGAAGGATTACTTTTTGAGTTTTGTGTGGCTGTGATGCTCTTGGCTCATCTTGGTGCAGCATCTGGTTTGTCACGATGCAGTCACATGGTCTGTGTTTGGTTTGCAGTCCACAGTGAGATGGTACAGGTTGCATCTGCGAACAAATAATTTCCTGACTTTGTACTATTTCTGCCTCAATGTAAAACCTTCTGTTAGTCCTGGGTGAGTGACATCCTATTGTTTTCACACTGTCTTTCTAATTAGTCAGGATTGTTATGAATTAAAGACTTCTGTTCCTTGACATGCCTGTAGTCATTCCTTCTCCTTCTGCATGTTGCTTGCTGATTTAATAATCGCAGCTGCTTTTCCTTTAGTAGGCTCATTAATTAACATCTCAAACAGTAGTTGGTTCCAAAGAAACCCCAGTGGAACTCCACTCAGTGTGTTCTTCCCTCCTGACAGGAGTTGTGGATGATGGCTGTCTCTCCCAACAATCTTTGGGTGGTCTGGCTAAATCTTCCAAGAGTGCCCCATTTCAGATACCCCTCCACTGCTTTTCCTGCCTGTGCAAGGCCTGGCATCCTGCCCTAGCCCAGGCTGGGCTCTGGGAGTTTGTCCTTGGCAAGTCCATGATGGCTGTGATTCTTTTATTGTCCTGCAGAAGTTTCTGTGCTTTGTCCCAGTATGCTTCCAGGAATTGATGCTGATGGATTTATAATTCCCTGGCTCTTCCTTTCTCCCTCTCCATCTCCCCATTCTCTTTTAAAAGATAGATGTCATCTTTGTCTGTTTCCGGACTTTAGTCTTGAGCTTTTAAACATAACCACTAACAGCTCTGAGATCTCTTCAGCCAGGTCTGTAAGTGGGCTGGGATGATTTTTATTGCATTTTTTCCCTTTCTCTATGCTGTACATTAAGGCTGATGCAGAGAGGTTTTAAAGTGCTGCTGCTTTCTTGGAGTTGTCCACTGAACATGTGCTTTGTGCATTGAGGAGGTGCCCACGCCTTTCCTTGTCTTTTCTCTTTCTGCTAATGGACATCTTCAGCCACGGTAGAACTCATTACTTATTGACAGAAAAATCAAAGCATGCCAGGTTTGATTTCTGTTTTTAAAAGCAAACAAGAGGGGTGATGTGCTGACTTAAAAGACTACTCCAAAATATTCTGGAACTACGAATGGGAAGTGTAACTGTTTGGTGACAAAGTCAAAATGACAGTTACTGATTTATAATATATTTATCCTATAAGTTCTGTTGATTCTAAAATCAGCTTCTGAAATGACAAAGCAGTTTGCAAAGAGTTCTGACCCTTTTTTTTCTAGTTCCCAATAATGGAGAGGAAAATCACCTTAAATACATCTTGTTGCTTAGCTTTTCAAAATGTTGTAGATTGTTTGAAGTTGTTCACCTTTTTTATGGTTAAGTGTTTTTCTTGCATACTGAATGCTTTTCAGCTGCAGTTTGGCTTAACTTCAGGACATTCACAACTTGCAGCCTGTAGTTCCTGCAGCAGCTGCTGTGGCATGCGATTCATTTGTCTTGCTCTAAAGCAATGATTGCTTGAGAAGTGAGACCAAATAGATCATCATTGTGTTGTATCCTGTGGTCTCCTCAAGCCTATTGTGAGGAAGCAGCCAAAATCCAATTCTGTGTTTGCTTCCCATCCGATATTAGGGATCAAGTGGTTCTGTCTTTGTAGCCAAGCTTAACAAGTGCTGTGCTGGCTGCAGACCCTTGGCTTCTTGTGAACGGGAGCCTAAACCTTTGGCTTTTCAGTTGTGAGAGCTCAGGCCTCCAGGTTTGAGCTGGGGGTGGCTCTGTGGTACCTGTCAGTGACTCTGTGTGTTCTCTGCAGACGTTCATTGCCCGTTTCCGCCGCATCATGGACTCCTCTCAGAACGCCTACAACGAGGACACGTCTGCACTGGTGGCTCGGCTGGATGAGCTGGAACGGGCTCTCTTTCAAGTGGGCCAGAAAGGGCTGAATGACTTCCAGTGCTGGGAAAAGGGACAGGCTTCTCAAATCACAGCTTCCAGTCTGGTGCAGAACTATGGGAAAAGAAAGCTCGCAGAAGTGGATGGTTAAAAGCCTGAAGTAACAGCGGGGGACACAGCCTGTTGTAGAAGAGAAAAATGAATCAATTTAGGGAGGGGACAGAGTCCCTGTCCATTAGTGGGAATTCTTATCTGTAACAGCTTTGGATAAGACTAGTGAAAATTTTAAAGGCAGAAGGCAAGGATATAAAAACTACATCACACCACCGAACAGCCTTACAACTTACTTGTAGCAGTCCTGAGGAGCTGCAGCTAAAGTGTTTGCTAGGCGGCTGAAAGGCTATGAGAGGATTTTCTAAAAGGGTAATAAATACTAATTATTGCTCCAAATTGATATTTACAATGCCAGATCTAGAAAGAAAGTGTAATTTATGTATTTCATCTTGTCCTTCCCATCCCAGCCTCCTGGAAACAGCTGTTGATTCTATGAACAGATAGAATCTGTTCATATATGAACAGCTGTTTCCAGGTTCCCTGTTCTTTAGAGAGCCCCAGTGATGTGGAAAAGTGTGATACAGCATTACATTTTTTTCATTTTTTATACACTGAGGTGGAACAGGTGCTCTTTGTGAGGCAGGAATGTTTTTCTTTGCTGACTCCTGTACGCACTGCCAGTGCCCTGGAGCGAAATACCTCCTCAAACCCACACAGCAAGAGGCTGCTCAGGTCTTGTATTACTTTGTCCTCTCTCTCCCTTTTTGGCACTTGTGACCTTGGTGCTGTTTAGTAAAGAGTGTTCTTGTTTGATGCCTGTGGCTTTTGTGCTGGATGTGTCTCTCTGATGGGTGTTCTACAGAGGAGGAAACAGAAGGCAGCAAAGAATAAAGTCTGGACCAGATCAAAAGCAGAAACTTTAATGGAAACTCTGCCCCATTATCAAACATTGACATATTTGTTTCTCCGTGAGAAATTCTTCTGATTTCTAAATTCGGTTAGTAGAAGAGACAGAGCAAATGAACAGAGTTCCCTTCCTTCTGATCCATCCAAAGGAATCTAGGAAAATGATCCTAGTAAATGTCATCCTTGCCAATAGAAGTGACTGGATTTGGGACTTGCTAAACAGCACAGTGGTTATCATCCCTTAAACCTAGATCATCTCAAGTCCCACTGGACTGGAGACAGAAGACACGGTTGCCTCTGTAGGACTTAGTTCCTGCAGTCATCAGGATGGTTGTCCTTTGGGAGCAGTATTAGATATCTTGCAGGTGCTTCTGCACCTCTGTGGAAGGAGAGCCTTGTGAAGAACCTAAGCAGAGGAGCTGAATCCTGATGCTGCTCAGCACTTCCGTGAGAATCCCTGGGAGGTGACAACAAGATCCAAGTCTCAGAGGAGCTGTTACTGGACTTGCAGATGCACCTGGATATTGGATTCTTCTAACAAGATCTCAAGCACAAAGAACTGTTGCTTGGCCAGAGATGTTCAAGCTCAGCCTGAGGAGGTGGTGAGAGGGGACAGCGTTGTGCCTTCACAGCTGTCTCGGTGCCTCTCCCTCAGCTGCACAGGGCCAGCTGTCCTGCTACAGGAGACAAGTTGGAAGCTTGCCTGACAAAGTATTTCAAGTATGTGCAGGATGAAATGCTGCTGCACTTAATGACTTAATGGCATGTAATGGCTTATGCATTTGTCAGTTGTTCATTTCTGGATTTTTGTCCTCAATAAATATTTTGTAAAGGTATGTTCATAATGTGAAAAGTGTTTCGTTAATTGTGCCACAGCAGAAAAATCAAATGGGAAAGTCCAGGTCTCTACAAAAGTGTGGCCATGATAGATAATCCCTCTGCTTACAGATAATGTGGTCAGGAGCTATCTTGTAGCAGTGTAGAAATAGTTCCTGTCTGACTTAGCCCAGGTGGGGACTGCAGCTCGCACAAGTTGTGGCAGAGACCCTGCCAGGCAGTCAATGAGCTATTGCTTTAATGAAATGCATTTTTAGGAACACAAGATGGGTAGAGATGACTCCGTGTTACCTCAACTTTGTTTTACTGGTGGTGGGAGGTGGGAATTGGCTGTCTCTATTCAGATCCTGCTGCTCCAGGCACTGTGGCAAACACTTCATATACCATGGCAGAGCTGTGATCAGTGCTGCAAGGGGAGCAAGTTGAACTCCATCTGTGACAAGAAGCATCTTTCAATTGGAAATATTATTGGCTTTGGGATGTATCTGGTTTATAACCGAAATCACGAGTTCCATCAATTTCTGGACTGGTTTTGGTGACTATCCAAGCTAATTTTCCTGCATTTGTAAGAAAATTTTTCTTCTCTACCGCTGGATGCAAAATCCAAGCAGAAGGTTGTTCACTTGCCAACATTTTGTGCAACAGCCTTCAGAATAGGGAGGAAAAGAATCCCTGAAGTAGTCTTCAATGTCCCTGGCTTTTTGTAAGAAGGCAGTGCCACTTCTAGTAACTGAGTTTAAGACCCTTAAAAAATCTAATTGTGTAATTTTAAACTACAGTATTGGATTAGTAAATCTTGGTTAGTTTTTTTCTGTCCAGAAGTACAAGAGTGCTCTTTACTTTTTGTGAACACAGCTGTCCTTTTCCATGGCACTGCAGCAAGCTTTAAGTTAGAGGAGTTTGAACTTGTGTGTTTTCAGAATGGTACAATAAATCTTCATCACAGAACTACCTGGGAAAGGTCTGAAAAGGACTTTTATTTATCCTCACGTTCTTCAGCTTTTAAACTGAACATGTTTTAAACAAAATGCTGATGTTTATGACAAAATGTGTTTCCATAGACACATTTTACAGTATTGCTACAAATGTTTTCATTGGAATCGAGTGAAAAAATAGGCAAAATTTGGGCAGCAACCAGGATGAGCAGCAACAAGGAGAGGCAGCAACAAGAAGTGTTCTGGGAACTGACACACTGTAACACCACATATTATTTTTTATGAGACACACAGTGGCACCTGGCTGAGTTAGGAGCACAAGCTGTTCTGATCTTCAACTGGTGATTTTCTACTGGTTTTTGGGTAACCAGCTACAACAAAAGCTTTGTTCAGAATTTTAATTAAAAGCTGGGTTTGGTAGGTTGTGCTACCTTGTCCTAGATTAGAGCATACACGAAGAGTAGATGTCATAGTTGGCAGTGAAAATGAAGGATTACTGACTGCTGCAGGAGGGAGGGAGGGAAAGCTGTGGAATCCAAAACTTTTCTGCCAGAGGGAAATTTGCCATCCTGTGGGTCCTGATCACTGTGGTGAAAAAGAACCCAGAGGGGGCTTGAGACAAGGAATGAAAGCAAGAAGGAAGAGGAGACAGCAAGCTTCCACCTCCCCTGGGCACACTGAGTCTGCTTGATGGGCTTTGTTTCCCAGTGGAAATTGCTGTGGGGAGCCTCTTCCCTGAGCCAGGCTTTGCTGCACAAGGGCCAGGCTTGCTGGGAGCCCCCAGAGCCGACTCCCTGCGCTGCTCTGGGGAGCAGGACAGCACCAAGAGCACTGTGCTGCTGCCAGAATGCTCCTTGGCTGGTATGGAAAATTACAAGGGGCACAGCCCCAAAAAGCCAAGGCATTTGTTCTGATTTTCCAAACACTTCATTAATGTCATTGACAATACCAGCAGGTTCCTCAGATTAGCGTGCTTCTATTTTTGAAGAGTTATTCCTCATGGCAGGCTGCCAAGCAGTGCCAGCAGTCTCAGTATCCTTTCTATCTAGATTGGCAGGACACACTGGTCCATTGCCTTTCCTTAGCCTGTGTGAGGATTTAGGATTTACAGCTGCAGCTCTTTGCAGTGCTCCCCCACACCTTGGGGAAAATGCATCTTCTTTGGGATTCCCAGCTAGACCTGTGCAAGGCAGAAATCTCCTCTCTTAGAGGAAAAAATCCACATTGCTGCTGCTGGGTTGAGGCAAGTCACAGGCAGAAGCTGGGCAGAGCAAGACTTGGGGGGTGAGGAGCATAGAGGGACACAGAATCAGGAATCCCAGTTTACCTGCAGATGGGCTTGAGAAACTGCAAACCAAAAGACAGTCCCAGACTTTTGGATTTCTCTGTCTAGAAATGGGCAGCGGTAAGGAGATGTCTCCTGACGGTCATGATGCTGCTGCTCCATTTCAGTTGTGATGCTGTGGTGCATAAGAAAGGTGGCAGAAATCAAACTGAGGTTGAAAACTGGGCTCTCAGCTTGTGTGACTTGTAGGACAGGACTTGTCTCTAGCTGTCCTGTTGGTCCCTCGAGGGCCCTGGGTTCTCCTCAGGGAGAGCAGAGGAGTCACAAACCCTTACAAACCCTTGCTGAACATAAAAGACAATTTTCTCCCTGACTTCAGACCAAGAAGCTGCCAAATGCTTAGGATGTAGTGTGTTTTTTCTTTTTTTCTCAGGCATTACAGCAAAAGTGGAGTGAGGAGGTGGCTGTGGGACTTGGCAGCGATGCACATGGTAGGAAGCAGCAAAGCAGATGCAGTAATCAAAGTACAATCAAAGCAGCCCTCAAATGTGCCTGTTTCTCTTGCTGTGGGACCATCCTCAGCAGGGTGGGTGTATCTGCAGACAGGCTCCCATCACAGCAAGGATTTAAGATGAGTTTCTTGCTTTCACCTCACTTACAAGTACAAGAATTGCAGGTTTATGACTGTTTAGTTGACATCCTGCAGCCCCTTTCCTAAGTGCTCTTTGTGTCCATGGGTGGCTGAAAGGCCATTTCTCTGCTGGGGTGAGGGAACAAGCCACACACAGGCCCTGGGCAGCACCAACAAACCAACTGTGGGAGTCCTGTGCACCCTTTGCAAAGGCTTCTAGAGAAAAGTCCTCCCTTTCCTCAGCTGTGCTGGTGGAGACCCGAGGAATGGAGCCAAGCCTCCTGGGCAGGGCTGTACTCTGTTGTACTGTCCCTGTGTGTTTGGGGTTACTCCAAGTTTGCACCAAATCAGCAGGGTTTATTGCAGTCGTGCTGGATTTACTAAGCTCTGCCTGGAGGCTGAGCTGTTATTTTTCCTTTCAGTTTGGGCTCTCAGGTGCACAAATGCAGCTCTGGCTGCCCAGCTGAGTCCATCCCTGCTGATGCAGGCAGAATGGGGCGAACAGATCACAGCCTCCCTGGATGGCCAGGCTCTGTCCACCCAGCACTGCTCTGGATTCACACAGCATCCTCCAAGTGAGCCCTCCCCAGCAGGCAGTGACATTTCACTGAGCGGTCCCACCCTCAACTCTGGAGCTCCGCTGTGTCCTGGCTGCACCCAGAACCCTGGGGCTCCAGCTGAGTCAACAGGGCAGGAAAAAGGCTCGAGGAAAAGAAAATCACTGCAAATCAGGCCTTGGGAACAGCATCTGCTTTATGGCAGAGACCGATTTAATCTCCTTAGCAATCGCCTCAATTGTAGAATCAGCAGGATGCTAATTAATTGAGAGGCACTGAGTGACAGCCATTGAGGTCCCTCCTGGCTTTAAGTGGAAGCCTTTTGGATTTGGCATTTGTATTGGCTGCTCTCCCAGCAAGAGGGTCTGCCTTGGGGCTAAAGGCCTGTGTGGGGTGTCTGACACCAGTCACCTCCTGGCTGCTCATCCCTCTGTGCTGGCCGTGCCTGGGGCTGGGGTGTCCACACACCCCACAGACCATCCCACAGCTGTCAGGAAGCATTGCCCTGGCCTCCCACTCCTGGCTCTTGGCCCAGGGAGCCAGCAGAGAGGGGTGGCTGCAATCCATGAAACGCCTCACCCTGCCTCCCTCTGGCCCTTCCAGCCTGGAGGCAGCCCCTCACCTCCTGAAAGCCCACAAGCCGATTAAGCCCAGCATGTTAATTGGCTGTGACAGCTCATTTTGTTATCTTGCACTTATTGATGGGGTGCGTGTGACTGGATTTGCAGTGAAGGTCAGTGCCAGGATGGGCCAGAGCCCCTTGTCTGGTGCACCCCAGCTCGTGGGATGGGGCTCCAGGAGGAGCTGGATCAGCTGTAAAGCAGCAGCACGGTCACACAGCCAGCAGCCACCACTGGGGACATTTTACCCACAGGATGTGCAACACCCCGACTCAGGAGCACATAGAGACTCCAAGAGAGTTAGTTGTGTTTGGGTGGGCATCTGGCACCCACTGCTGCAAACCACTCTTTCCAGGGCTGGGTGATACAAAGATTGGATTTAAAGTCCCTGAAGTGGGAAGATACACAGGGCAGGGCAGCACCTGGTGTCCAGCTCTCTCCAAACAAGTTTGGGGGCTTAATCTTGGTTTTGCCTTCGGCTCCTACAAGGGCTAAAAAGGGAAGGAGAGGATGAGTGTGCAGGGAGCTGGAGAGCTGAGGGGAAGAGACGAAGACCTGCCTCAGGAAGTGGGAGAGGCTGGTGTTTCAGAGTCTGGATGCTGTCCTGGGACAGCAGTGGCACACCTTTGGCCAGCCCTCTGCCTCTCTCCCAGCACCTGATGGGTCCATGGCCCAAATGCAGCGTAACAAGAGTGCATTAGTGAGAAGTGGGATGAAATCGTTGGGATTGATGGATCAGAGCTAGAGGTATTGATCAGCTGAGGGCTAAGGAGAAGGTCAGGGACAGAGCTGGTGGGTTCAAGGCAAGGGGAGCTGGGTGTTTGCCTACTTCTGTGAGGTTTTTCTTGACCTTAGCTGCAGGTAGCTGCAGCTGGTGGGGACTGAGGAACTGTGGAAGCTCTGAGAACAGAAGTTTAACATTCCCAGAAGCTTAACCCTCCCCCTAAAGCATCACAGCATCTTGCAGCTAGAGAGGTCAGCCCTTGGATATGGCATTATTCCATCCTCCAAGGGAAGGTAAGAGTGGGCAACTGTGCTGCGCTGTGACAGGTGCTGTGCAGTTGAAAATGCTGATTAATGCTGCCTTTGAGGATGTGCCAGTCTCTGGCCTCTGAGGAGAGAGCTCCTGCTGTCTCTGCTCTGTCTCACGCCTATCAACCTGCTAAACACACACATGCCGTCACTGAGCACCCGGCTTGGCTCTGCTGACAGGTATTTATTTAAAGCCTGGCTCGGCTCCGAAAAGAGGCCGTGGCAGAAGCAGCACAGTGGGCCCAGGCAGTGCTGCTGCCAGCTCCTGTGGCTGGGAGGAGGCAGGAAGGGATGGAGGGTCCTGCTCCGGAGACATGGGCAGAGAATTCTCCCTCTGGAAGAGGTGTCTCCTGGTAGTGGGTGGCTCTCCAGGCCCACACAATGAATGCCTAAATTGAGGTCAGAGTTGAGCAGCTTCATTGCAGGGAGAAGGAGTTGCAGGCAGCGCACTGCTGCACACGTGCTGCAGGCACAGTGCTCCAGGGCAGGTACCTTCCTCTGGAAATCAGCTTTGCTCTCACACACTCGGCCAGTCAGTGCAGCTGATGGACCCAGACCTCCAATTGCAGCCAGAGGTGCCTGTGCTGAGGCAGCTTTGGAAATGGCTGAGGGTGAAGTCCCCAGGGCTGCCTTGTTCCTGGCCCCAGCGCAGCTGAGCCATGGGAATTTTTCTTGGCTGGTTGCTGGTCTTTTCTTTCCTTTTTTTTTTTTTTTTCCTGGCTTTTGGACAAAGTCATCCCATTCCCCTGAGGCAGAGGGGCTGTGAGCACTGTGAGGAATGGCTTGGAGGAGCAGCCATCCTGCAGAACTGGTAGGCAGCTTCAGCAGCAAAACAGGGGTGACTCAGGGTCTGAATGAACAGAGAAACTTGAATGGGGCCCAGCCCTATTA